CCCCGCCATGGCTCCATCACCCCAGTACACCTGGGCGCTTGCCGATCAGGAATTCCCGGGTCCATTGGCCCCCTGCGCAGCCAAGTTCTGTGCGTCCCCATATGCTTGATGTGGCCGGTTTGGGGCGCCCTGCAGCTGTTCTACCAACCAGGTGGGCAGAGCCATTGAGTGCAGGTGTTGCAGGGTGCTGCCCCCCAGGGAGAGGCAGGGAGATCGGAGCCTGGGGCCCCGGCTTGCTCCTTTGCTCTGGGTGAGGCCCCAAAGGCCAGGAATAGCTGGGAGACGATGCACCTTGACCCCCTTTGGTAACCTGGGGGATGGGGCCATGCAAGGGTCGGGAGTAGCGGGCCGGGGATGATGTAGCCCCCAGGCTGGTTATAATGCACGAGGGGGGACCTGTAACTGGGGCGGGCTGTGCCCTGCTTGCTAGCCGGAGCTGCAGTGATTGCAGGGGGGCAGGTGTGACTCATTAGATGCCACCTGGCCTGGCAGGGAGGTGGGAGTAGCCAGGGGAGCTGGAGTTCGTGTAGTGTTACCCAGGAGTGCCCTCACTGCCGGGGAGACACTGACCCTCAGGGAGCGTGGGAGGTTTGCCTGGCATTGGGTGCGGGCTTCTCCGCGGGCAGACACACAGCGGCCATCTCTGCAGCAGGAGCCAGCCAGCCTTCCCTGCCCCCCAATCCCCAGTGGGGTGTTTAAAGGGCTCCCGAGACAAAGGGCCCGGTCCTGGCTTAGGTGCGTACCTACCGCTCCTGCCAGTGGGACTGGGCTCTTAGGGTAGGGTCGCTTCCCTCTACCCACAGTTCTAGCTCGGCAGGACCTGTCTGGCGCTTCCTTCTCCGGGGGTGTGTGTGTGTGTGTGTGTGTGTCAGTCACACCAAAATGGTGGCCGTATTAATTGATGCAGTGGCTAATGACAAATAATTTGCATGCAGAAGGCCTTTCCCGCCAGACTGTAGCAGCTCACTGGGGGTCCGATTTTGGGCCTAGCAAAGATGATTTTGTCTGTGTAGCCCCCTGGTTCTCCGGGCGGTGCTGAGAACGGACACCCCCCTTCTCTGCGCTGTGTGTGTCTCAGCCAGAGCCAGGCTGGGTGGGTGTTTGTCTGTCGCTGCCCCTCATTCCCACACCCTCCTGACACCTGGGAATGAATCAGCGCAGCCTCCGGACTTCAGGCTTGCAGCTCCCCTGGGAGTTCTGGCTGGCTCTGAGCCCCACGGCTTTTGTGGGTGAAACCTGACTCCGGAAGAAACAATGGGGTTTGTGTTAGTGTCTCCTGCGTGGGAAACTTTAAACGCGGTTTATTTTCCAAACCGACGTTTCTGGGAGCTGCTTTGATACCACTGAAAACAAACCTAGGGCAGTGGGCTGGGTCTGTGGGGGTTGGGGGGGGGGGAGCGCAGGGCTCCAAAAGACCACAGTGTGTGGCGGGGAAGGGAAAGGCTTCCATTGACTGGCTGCCAGCCTCCAGCGTAGACGTTCCAGGGCTCCAGGCGGCTCTCCCTACGGAGGCTTGTTCCAGGAGAGCTGGGTGAGGCTGAGAGCAAGGTGCGACGTGACTCGGGTTTTGTGCCGTGGTGTAAACCTGGCTCTCAGCTGCAGATAAGCACGTTGGGGGGCCTCCCTGCTAATTTATAGGAGTTCAGAAACCTCCGTGGCTCCGTGCGTTTGGGTCTCTGCAGACGCTGGATCTTTGCTGCATCGGCGCTAGGGGACGGCGTTCCAGGGCTTTGTGCACATACAGCGGGCAGCTGTCGCTGTTCCTGAGCCGTTCATTGCTTTGGTGGCAGCGACGTTATCCCTCCCACCCAGAGAGCAGCGTGTGTGTGTGTGGGGGGGGTGTGCAGGGAGCTGCCCTGCTCCTGCCCACCCTGCATTCAATGCCATTGAAGGGGGACAGATTAAAAACTAATACATGGCAATGCTTTTGCACACGGCCCACAAGGAGCCTGTGGAACTTGCTGCTACAAGATCTCATTGAGGCCAAGAGCCAAGCGCTGGCCATTGGCCTGGATAATGGGTGTGACGTGACATTCCACATTCCTTGTGGACATATGCTGATGATATGAATATGACGTAACTGAGATATACTCTTATGCCAGGTGGCTCATGTGAGATATCCTTGGAAAGGTTCTGATTTACTGAATGCTCCTCCTCTCCATGGCCTGTCTGCCCAAGAAGAAAAACTGAAGGCAAGGGAGAGTCCAGCCTGAGACAGGGGTCTAGTCTGAAAAGGAATAGAACTGGAACTCTGAACCACAGAAACTTTGCAACCTGCCCGCAACAATATCTAGGGCAGGGGTTCTCAGACTTCTGTCCTGGTGACCCCTTTCACATAGCAAGCCTCTGAGTGTGACCCCTCCATAAATTAAAAACACTTTTTAATATACTTAACACCATTATAAATGCTGGAGGCAAAGCGGGGTGTGGGGTGTGGGCTGACAGCTCATGACCCCCCATGTAATAACCTCACAGCCCCCTGAGGGGTCCCAACCCCCAGTTTGAGAACCCCTGGTCTAGGGTGAGAAATACTATTTGTAACTGATTTCTTTAGTGAAACTAGCTTAGTTTGCGTGTTTGATTTCATTTGCTTAGTAATCGGCTTTGTTCTGTTTGTTACCCCTTTTATCACTTAAAATCTGCCTTTTATATTAAATAAAATTAGTTTTATTTATTATTAAACCCAGTTTCTGTAATTTCTAACTGGGGGGAGGGGCAAGAAGTGTGCACACCTCTCTCCACCTTGAGGGAGGGGGTGAATATCATAGTATCTCTTTGGGTCTGCACTCCAAGGGAGCTGGACATCTGAGTGCTGGAGCAAGTCCCTGAAGCTGAGTGTGCCCAGAGCTGATCTGTGGCTGGGGGTGGCCCAGCCTGTGTGTGGGTTAGAGGAGGTTTTTAGAGCCTGGCTCAGCCAGACAGGTTAAGGGGGCCCAGGCTGGCAGAACAGGTAGACTCAGGGATATCTCAGCACATCAGGCGGCTTCCCCAGGGGTCCAACCCGTCACAGTGGGAACATCCAAAGCCAGACTAACAGCCGGGGTGTTGAGAAGGGCTGTAAACCCCCCTGCTTTGGGGCATGAGCTGACCATTAACAACTGGCCATTTGCAGGGTCCTCGCCCCTTCCTGGCCAGCAGCTGGTGCCAGCCGGTGTCAGAGCCAGGAGTGCTGCCAGTTTCCAGGTCCATGGAGAAGCCCGGTTCAGTCTAGCTGTCGTCTGGCACCTGCCTGCCTCTGGGGCAGCTCAGCCCTCCCCGTGCGCTGGCTTCGGGAGCCCAGGGCTCCGACCCTGCCTTACATCCGCCCCCGTTCGCTGACCGTCCCTTCTTCTCTCCTCAGGGAGCTGAACGGGAACAACATCACCCGGATCAACAGGAACGACTTCTCGGGGTTGAAGCAGCTGCGTGTCCTGTGAGTCCCCTGCCCCGAGCGCTAGCAGTGTCTGTGACGGGGGTGGGGGGACTGCCTGCAGGGGAGAGGCCTGCCCGGGCCGGGGCTGACCCAGATGGGACTCTGCCTTGGGAGGCTGGTGCTGCTAAATCCCAGGCTGAGAGAGAACTGGGGCAAGCAGGGTAGGGGAACCCGGGCTCACCATAGGGCCCCTGCTGTCGGAAACATGGTTTAAAGGGGGGGGGGGGTCAGAGGTCATTGCCCTCCTTGGTGACTTGGGCTGGGAGGCGGGCGACTCCTCTGACGGTAAAGTGGGCTGGGATGAAAGGAACAGTGAGCGTGTGCCTGAGGGTCCTGCTCCACGTGGCTGACCGGGCCACGCCCCGGGGAGGGGGTTGGGTCTGCTGCCTGGTGACCCCAGTATCCCAGAGGGACTTGGGCCCTCGCCCTCCGGCTGGCTCACTGCTGGCAAGGCCTGCGTGCCCTCCATGGGCGTGGAAACCGGGTGATGGAAATGGATGCTGCTGGGAGCCAGGCCCGAGCTCTTAGCCGGGAGCTGCTCCGACGGCGCTGAACATCAACGCGGTGCCGAGGAGGAGCCGTGTGACACCCGTGGGCTAGGGGGCTCCCGGCTCAGTGACCTGGGAGCCCGGCACCATGGCGGGTGCTGGAGGGTGACCGCGAGTGGCCTAGCTGGGACGCCGGTAGGTGTCTGAACAAAGCAGCCCTTTCCCTGGCTAGCTCCCAGTGACGCTGACGGGAGGTGGCCGGGGTCCCTATGATGGTGGCCCCTGCTCCAAGGGAGCATGGCAGGGCCTCGGCCCCCCGTGACATGTGTGACGACATGGGCCATTGCACCCCTGGAATGAGCATGCCCTGCCCAGCCAGTCCCCGGGCAGATCCCCAGGCTGTGGTGCGGGGGCTTCCCGTGGATTCCCGGTGAGTGAGCGCGCTGCCCCCGTGCGTCTCGGCTCTGACCTGTTCTCTCTGCCTCCCTTTTCCAGGCAGCTGATGGAAAACCAGATCAACACGGTGGAGCGGGGAGCGTTTGACGACATGAAGGAGCTGGAGCGGCTGTGAGTGCCTGGGCGCTGCGGGACAGGGAGGGGGAGAGGGGAATGGCCGCTATTGCTGCAGACAGCAGAAGGGCCGGTGGTCCCGCGAGCTGCTGGGGGGGCCAGTGGCTGTGCTATCGCGTGCGGGGGATTTGGGTGCAGCCCACTGCTCTCCCTGTGCTGGCAGGGCCTGGCACTGCACTCATGCCCTGGAGAAGAGAGAGCACCTGACTCCTCTGAGCAGCCTGAGCAAAGACCCTTGTGGGGATGGGAGGGGCTAAAGAGAATGGGGGGGGGGTCTGGAGCAGACCCTTGTCCATCCCTGCTCTCCAGTACAGTTCAGGTGCCAGCAGGATCATCTGTGGGGCAGGACTCCTGTGGGAGTGGTTGAAGTCAGACCCCGTTTGAGAGCAGGGCATGGCAGTGTCTCGGCGGGGCGCGGTGCTGGGGGACGGGCCCTGCTCTCTCGCTAACACAGACAGATGGCTGGAGGACAAACCGTTTTATACCCCAGCCGCGGAGCTGCCCGCCGTTTGCACTCAGACGCGTCCCAATCTGCTCCTTTTCCCTCGGGGATCCAAATAACTCCTCAGCGATGTGCTTAACGCGTCTGCGTGCCAATCAGCCCCGAGCGCAGCTGGGACCTCGCCTAGCAGCTCCTTCAGGGCACTGCAAAGCCTGCACCAGCAGGTAGGTCAGCAGACACCGCACACACCGCCTTGGGCTGTGACCCAGCCGCTCTCTTCCGGGAAGCAGAGTCAGGCCTGCTCGGGGCTGGACTGGGCTGCCTCCAAGGCGCACACACGCGTGCTGATGACTCAGGAGCGGACGTTCATCTCGAATCAGAACTGACTCATGTTCCCGCAGGGCGCCGGGCTGCAGAGTGGGGCCTGCGGCTCAGTGGGGGCCCTGTCCCCTCTTGGCGTCCGCCTGCACAGAAAGAAAACCCCGCGGCAGCATGGCTCAGCCTCAGAGCCTGGGTCGACTCACTACAGGGCTAAAAATAACAGTGTGGACCTTCCTGCTTGGGCTGAACCTCGGGCTCTGAGACCTCCCGCTTTCAGGTTCCAGAGCCCTGGCCCCAGCCCGAGTGAGAACATCTGCATTGCTATTTTTAGCCCCGTAGTGTGAGCCTAAGTCAGCTGATCTGGGCTCTGAGACTTGCAGCCGCGGATCTTGTTTCGCGGTGTAGACCTAACTGAGGGCCGAACCCAGTGTCACAGTGGAGTGGTCTCCTTCACTTTCTGTCCTAAACTGCAGTGTTGCTGTGTGCTTTTTAAACAGCTGCTTGGCTTGCCCCAGAGGTGGCTGCATTTAATGGTGGAGGAAATCAGATACAACCAATACTAATATTGTGTATGTAAAGTACTGCGAACGAGGGCAATACCCGTTCTAGTTCAGTTGTTGCTAAATAAAGAGACTCTGCAAACTGAAAACCTGCCTCGTCCAAGCCGATGGGGCAGCGGGTTACCAGGCAAAGCTGCAGCTGATATTGTCTGTGCAATCCTCTGTAAGTGGCCCCCGCTCCTGAGCACCGCCCCAGCTCTGAGCCTGGGCTGCACATGTAGTCGCACAGGGAGAGTAATTAACCATCGGAGCAGTTTACCAAGAGCTGTGGTGGATTCTCCATCACTGGCCATTTTAAAATCAAGCTGGGATGTTTTTCTGAACAATATGCTTTTGGTCAGGAGTCAGGGGGCTGGAGCAGGGTGTACAGTGGGGGGCTGAGAGCCATTGAACCAGACTATAACCCCTGGATAGAGTGGAAACCACTTCCAGCCAGGGGGTGCGGCAGCCCCCCGTACCTCTAGACCCAGCACCTGTGTTAGGAGTTAGTGTGTATGTTCTATTGTTGGTGCTATCCAGGGGTCAGACTAGGTCAGTGGTTCTCAACCTGTTGGCCATTGCGAACCGCCTGTGCAGCGTTCTGTGTTACATGGGCCGCATCCACACAATAGATATCCTGCCTGTATGGCCCTGCGGATGTCACATGGGCTGCAGCTCTGTGCTGATTGGGCCGTGGGTTGAGAACCAATGGACCGATCACCATGGTCTGCTTTAGACACATCACTGCAATGCTCCTGTGTGGCCGCTGCTCTCACACTGAAACCAACGTCCAGGCAAGGAAACAAAGTTAGTTTCTAAACCAGTTCCGTTAAACCAGGGCGACTTCTGTGCATAGACAAGGCCCCCGCTCAGCCGTTGAGCGCTGCCAGGACGTCTCAGCAAAGGGGGGGGGGGGTAACTCCCGCAGCAGGGCGTAAGGCTTCGTGCTGTCGACTCAGAGGAAAGCCACAGCAAAGGGTAGGGGTGAGCGCTGGTGGGTAGGAAGTACAGAGCGTGGGGGTCTGGGGCTTTGGTGAAGAAGGAGCCGAGCAGAGGCTGAGCGACAGGCCGAATTTAACTGCCCTTTGCTGGAGTCTGCTAGAGCTGGCAGGAGACCGCCTTGCCTTGCCTTGGGCTGCGCTGCACCAAAGCTCAGGCCTGGCTGTGCTGACGACGATTTCAGTGCGAGCTGCTGAAAATCAGGCCACATACTTAGGTACCTAAAGGTGGACTTAGGAGTCCAACTTCCGGGGCCCATTGTCAAAAATCTCTTAGTGCCTAGAGACTCCTGGGCAGGATGTCCCACACACCCCTCAGCTAGCTATGGACTAAGAAGACTAACGGTTAAGGAGACGGGTGGTTCTCAGTGGAGAGAATGTGAGGAACGCCCTGATTTTGGCCCAGTAACGCTGTAGTTACTCTGTAAGGGGAAGGCTAACGTCTATGAGAGACCCTGTATGGGCCCCCCCCAGCATTCCTCACTGGAGCCATCCCTGCATCCAGTCCCAGGGGTTCGGAGCCGGGCACTGCGGCTCCTTGTTGGGCTGGGATCATTGCCTTCCTCCTTGAACAGGTGACTCCCTGTAACCCTTTCTCTCCCTTTCCCCAGACGGCTGAATCGGAACCAGCTGCACACACTGCCGGAGCTTCTGTTCCAGAACAACCAGGCCCTGTCGCGACTGTGAGTACCTTTCTTATCGCTCGAGGTTCCATCCTCTGCCTTTGGACGGCTCAGACAGCGAGGGGGCCCTGGCTCACCACACAGAGCCGGGCGTGTCGGTGCGGCGACCTCTCCCAGTGGGAATGCAGCAGAGTTCTAGGAGTTAGATCCAGAGTTCTCGGCTGCTGCACTGGAGTTAACTGGGGTTTTATCCGAAGGGGAACTAACTGGGATGCGAGAAAACATGTTTAATTGGAGTGACGTAAATTCATTACCCGACGTCTGCAGTATGAAAAGAAATCAGCCGTGGAAGAGCTGAAGGATCAGCATCTTTAAAGGCTGTTAAATGTTATTAAAGAAAAGAGCAGTGCCTAACAAACTGCTTAATATCCAGGCTGGCTGAGCAATGTTAGTATTGTGACATGCAGGTTTGTCTGTGCTAATGTGAAATTTAAAGGAACACAAATGCCTCAGGGCCCTGTCCAGCTGGAGTCCCAGAGACCTTGAAATGTGACACTTTTACACATGAAGCGAGGCTGTGAGCTCCGGTTTCTCCCATACGTTTCCTATGTCTTTCCTTTGGATCCCCTTGTGGGCCTGATTCTAAACTCACTTATACTGGTGTAACCCCATCGACGTGTTCAGAGCTACTTCGGATTTACCCTGCTGTCTGTGAGAGATGAACCATCATGGCGAGCCCTAAGCAGGGAGTGGAGGCCAGCAGCAAAGCCTATCTTTGTGTGAAACACCTTGCTGATTCTGGTAGAGCTGCGTGTGCTGTGTGAAGCGTCAGGCTGCGCGGATGGAATATCTGAGCTGCTGTGTTGATTGCATCCGAGCTAGACTTGCTCCCGAAGGTCGGGCTGCTGGTTTTCAATTTGTGCCGCCATGCTGAACTCCAGCTGGCATTCTAGGAGTGGTTTCCAGGCGTGGCATGTTCTGGCTGGCTAGCAAGGCAGCTGTGTTGGAAACCGGTGTTTCTTTGGGCCTTAGAGAAGCGTGGGAGGAGAGGGCTGAGGTATTGGGGTGCAAAGCCAGGGGTCAGACATGGGTTTCTCCTGGCTGTCATGGAGCAGTTTGGTAGGGAACTTTCCCCGGTAGTGCCGGGAGCTCTGTTGTGCCTGGAGAGCATTTCCTTGCGTGTGTATATCCTGGTGTGTAGGGTGGAGCCCTTTTGCCTGGGGAGCGAGCTGGAGGAAACGCTACTGCTGGATGCTGTGGGCTGGCAGTGCTGGGAGCGCTTTCTCCGGCTCAGCGGCACGCTTGTCTCGGAGTCCGAAGTCTCCATTGTGCGCCTTGTTTCCCAGGATGGTGGTTTGTTGGTGCAGCGTGTCTCTGGGTTGCACGACTTGTGAGTGGCTGGTGTCGTCGGGAGCCCGCGCAGGCTGGGCCTGAGCTCTGAGGATTAAGAATGGAATTTCTAGCACGTGTCGTTGTGTGAATCTTTCCGGAGTGCCTTTGCCCCTTGGTTCTTGCTGGGCAGGGACCGGCTGAGAAGGCAGCATGTGCTCTATGGAGACAGCAGTCTGTGCATTCAGCGCTTGCCAAGAGCTGGGGCAGGACAGAGCTGGAACCTCTCTTGGGGGGGATGTTCTCAGGGCCCCTTTTGGGTGGACGCTGGGTGGCCGGGGTGTGACCTACATCTGCCGTGGTTCCTTTTTCCACTTCTGTTCTGTGTGTGCACAGAGAGGGGAAGCGAGAGATGCCAAGTGCTTTCTGGATGCTGGGCTGGGCCACTATCTAACCGCTCTGCCTGCACATTCAGCCTCGTTCCAGGGGTGCTGACGGACTGGGGGACGCAGCCGCACAGCTGTTCTCTCCGTGTGGGAGACCTGCAGCCTGGGAGGGCGTGCTGGCCCCGAGAGAACTGAGTGCCCTTGTTTGGTGTCTCCTTAATTATCTCTTCACCCTTTCCATCCCCAGACCGGCAGGCTCTTGCTGTGTGGGCTTGTGAAGTGTGCCTGGCCCAAGGGGAGGCGGGAGATGGTGGAGGGAAGGTGAAAGCAAGGAGGCAGCTGCTAATAAAGCAATAATGAATGCAAAGGCAGCGCTAACCTTCAGTCACTAATTAGCGCGTCGGGATGCATCTGGATCTGAGGCAGGGACTGCACAGCCTTTCAGGAGAAGGAAAAAGGCCCTTGTCTGATCGAAGTGTGTGGGGTGGGGGGAGACGGGACGGGACACAGGCGGGAGCCACTGAAGGGGCTGGGGCTCTGGGGGCGCTGCGCCTGGCGCAGGAGAGGTGCCGGGGCAGACCCGCCACGGGGCTGTGTGTTATTTGTATGGCTCCCGTGTTGGTGGTGGGATGCTGGCGGCGGGGGGAGCTGGGTCTCCCCTGGCACCGCGCCCTGGAGAGCGTTCCCCGAAGTGTCTGAACGGGCCCTTGGCAGGTGGATTCCTGCCACTCGGTGCCCAGCGGGTCCCATGGCTGCTCTGGCCTGCGTTGGAGGGGGCACGCTGGGCAGCGGGTCCTGACAAGGGGCATCTCCAGAGGCGCCTGCGAAGGAGCAGCCTGCCTCGCTCAGAGCCCAGCGCTGGCCCCTGTTGTTAGGGGCTCCCCCGGGGACGGGGAGAAAATGCGTCAGGCCATTTCTCAGCACAGGCCGGGCCCTGCTCCCCTCCAGGTGCGGAGGCTGGGGGGAGGGGGCGAGGGGAAGTGGCTGGAAGATTGTTTCCTCCGCTTTGTGTGTGAGAGAAAAGGACAAGAGACGGGGTGGCCTGTGCCAAGCACCCTGAAAAGGGCCCGTTTCTGAGGCAGCCGTTACTATGGCACCAGATGACTTGATCTGGCGCTTTGCCATTGGTCAGCGACTGAGCTCCCATTAGCTCCTTTACCTCGGAAACGCCATGAGCAGTTGGCGGAGGGTTTGATCCCCCAGCCGGATTCTCTTCCCAGGCGAGTTTCAGGCCTGCGGATGTCCCGGGGGTCAGTCCATGCTGGTCCCCACCCCGTGCAGAGCTCAACCCCCCGTCTCCCCAGCCTGAGGGCACGCTGATTCTTACCCCTGCTCTGACTGGAATAACCCCCATGCCACAGGGGCTGATACAGACTTGGTGCAACAAAACAGAGGCAGCGCTGCTCAGACACCCGGCCCTGAGCGCTGTGTAAGTGCCCAGGTGGACAGCGAGTCCCCGTAATGCTGCTAATAGAATCAAGCCAGGCCGGGGCTGTGGGGAACGCTGGAGAACTGGAGCTTCGATGAGGCCTAGTTAGTGTTTTTCCCCGATTTGATCTGTATTGCAGCCAAGATGAGCAGAAGGTTAGACGGGAGTCAGGAGCCGGAGTTCTAGCGGCTAGGAGGAGGGAGAGGAGTATGGCCGTACATTACAAGGGAGCTTGTATACGTGCCTTGCGTCTCTCTTTTTACAAATCTTCGAACTGTCTGTCCAGCCTGCTGTCCAGCACTGTGGTATCTGGGCACCTCCTGTGTAAAGTCAATAGCCCTACGGGGCTCCACGGAGCGTCTGCCACGTCTCATTTTTGAGGGTCAAAACTCTGCTTGAGGAAGAGTTTGTGCTTTTAAACTGTTGTGAATTTGCTTGTGGTGGGTTGGTTTGTCCCCGGGCTGTGGTTGTCGGGGCGGTTTGGCCGTTGTGGGTGGCTGGGTTCTCGGTACCATTCTTGTGGGGGGAAAGTCTTTTAACGAAGCAATTACAAATTCTAAATAATAATCATCCCCTTGTCTCCATCCAACTTCCACGGCAAATGTAAACACCAGATGCTAATAGGATTCTGGGCAACAGCCTGGCTGGAATGTAAGTTGGCTGTCTCTAGAGGCGGGGGTTTGAGGGCGGATGAGTCACAGTATGGACCTAGACTATTTCTAGGTGCACCCCGTAGCTTAGAGCAGTTTCCTTTGGTGCTGCTGACCCAGTGATCTCCTTCAGCAGGTTGACCGGTTTGGGCTTTGTGTGAGTGGGAAGAGTGGGCTAGTGGACGGGGCACTGGGCTGGGGCCCAGGCTCCCTGTGAGACCTCAGGCGAGTCACTTCCTCTAGCCTATGTCTCAGTTCTCAGCTGTAAAGCCGTGATAATAGTTCCTGCCTCACCGGGGTGTGCGAGGATAGAGCCCATGAATGAGTGTGAGGAGCTGTCACACTAGGGGGCTGAGGGCCAGGAAAGCACCTAGACAGACGGATCGGCAGCTCTGCAGTGCTGGCTTTGTTGGCACAGCCAGCAGGTTTGGAATAAGCTCCTTTGCCCGCCAGAGAGCTGGTCCCAAGAGTCCGTTCACAAATGTATTGTAAAGGGTTAAAACCAGCCTGGGGCTGCCAGCTTGGAGTGTGTGAAACGGTGGAACAGTGCCCAAAATTGGCATATGTAATGGCAGCTGATAATGCACCCTTCCAATTAATTATGGATTGGCATTTCCCTTGGTCTCAGCTCTGCGGTGGTGGAGCATGAGGAAGGGCCGTCCTGCCTCAAAGGCTCCTATTACAGAAAAAGAAAAAAACAATTAAGGTAACGAGTTTAAACCGTGAACATTTTCATTTTAACCTGTGCTGGGTTTTAATACCAGGCTCTGAAATAAAATCCCGTCAGCGGGATACAGATGTGGGGTGGCCCCCGCGGGGTCTGGGATGGCGAGAGCTGTCACGGCCCCCTCTCGGTCTCTTTTCACGGTGTGATTATTTGTAGTCCATGCTGGTGTGCACGGAGCTGGGCAGACAGCTGAGAAGGGACCATCCCTGCCTTGAACAGCTCCTGGTCTAACGTGCAAGTGTCCGGACAAAGGGCGGTGCAGGAGGGATGCAAATGGGCGGCAGGGACAGCTTGAAATCCTTTCCGACCTTGCTTTGTGTGGCGTGGCCGCTCTTAGCCCTTGGCCTGTTTCTGCTCTGGCCTCCCTGTTCTTATTTTGTTGTTTGTTCCAACCGTTTCCGTTATGAGTGTGTTTTAGCCCTTTCCTGGTGGGGAACATGGCAGTTGCCGGGACTCTCTGAAATGTTGTTTTTTGGAACTGTGACTGTGCCTGGATCCTGATTGTTCAGCTATCCCGGCTGCTCTTTGATGGTCCAAAC